AATATTTACCTGAGCATAAAATCGTATTTTATAGCCATTTGAAAAACATAAAGGTAAAAGATTCTTTTTAGCTTCAATTTCAAATTCTTTGTTTTTTTTTATTTTGTGCAAGTGATATACTATGGATATAAAGCTACACAAAAAATTATGATTTTCCTGAGCCTATAAATAAATTTCAAATATTAACTTTAGATTTTTTACATCTATTTTTCATATACGATATGTATATAATTACACTTTTGAAGTCGTCCCAAAAGTCATAAAAACTTTGACATTTATTATAAATTAAAACCAATAACCATATTAATTGATATGCAACACTATGTATGTGAGATACTTCTTTTAAACTTCTTATTGACCATTTATATACATTTTCATCAAATATAAATGACTAAAAAAATACAATTAGAAGATTATAATATTAATGATTATTTATAATTACATAAATATTTTTAAATAATTAATTAGTACCTCATGTTGTTTATCACAAGCAAGAATCAGTAAAACTTGTACTACACGTTGTTTTAGGCGGTATGCCTTRGAGTTATGAAAAAATTTTCTATCTCTTGATGAAGACTCTGTCTTAATAATTATATTTAAAACATTTATCCATAACATATTGGAATTTAGTTTATATAAGTATTTAATTGTATTAAAACGTAAGTATTTATCATCAGGCAAACACTCAACACTAAAAAACAAAACTATGAATCATTTATACTACATAGAGCAATAATTAGTTTAAAAGCTTACGGAATATCATTGATTAATGGAAAATCATCCAATGTTCTTACATATTCAAGCGTGTCCCATTCAATTCTAAAAAAAATAAATAAAGATTTAAAAATAATTTTCAATATTATTCATTGAAAAACATACTTAAGAGCACCATATCGATCAATACTAAATAATATACATTTAGCGAAAAATTCTGACATTAAAAGATTCAATTCTAAAATATTAATGGGTTGATCTTCTTCCAAAAATTGAAGAAGAAGTAATGAAAAACAAACACTAAATTTATAACTGTATTTCTCAGTCAAAAGATTTTGAATAATCTGTAAAATAAAATATCTCAACTACCACTGATATAACAACATGATTATTGATTAACTTATTTAATTTAAAAAGTTTACCTGATTTTTGACAAATATTAAATATTTTTCTTCTAATAACAAATTGTCATTAAATGCCATTTTAATAAAACTTTTGGTAGCATTAGGAAAACAAGATACTCGACAATCAACTAAAAACTCCCAACAGTTTTTGATGAATTGCATTATTAACTGTGAATGCTCTTGTACTGGAAGTTTACATAAAAATGACCTAGCAGTTGAAAAATATACACTCCAGTATAAATCATGACGTTCTAGAGTTTTATCCATTAACCATTCAAAAATACTCAATATTTGTTCTTTGGGTACTGTAGAATGTTGAAAAAATGTATTTATTATATCCAATTGGGGAATTTGATGCATTCCAGGTTTTTTTGAATGAAAAAAATCTTTATTTTTAATAGAAAAAAATCCAGAATCAATAAAATGTTTAGTGAAAGATAGCCAATCGTTTTTTAAGGTATTTTCAAACGAATGTTTTGTTGCATATTTACCAATCCAACTATATATTGATAAAATAGAATAATTGCCAGAGTGTTTCGTAAGAATAGAATAACACTTACYAAGCCAAATATTCATAGGGTTTATATTATTTATTATTCGATTTGAGGATAAAACTTTATCCAAAAAGCGACAAATAATTAGATCATCACAAGGATTTTCTTCTAATATTTGAAAACATTTGTCAACCCAACGTGTTGTAAGTGGCCAAATATGTTTAMTCAATATTTGACTTACAAATGTATCATAACTGCCAAAGTGATCTTCGACTTCCAATAAACATTCTAAAAATTCTAATAGATCTGAYATAACTTCTGTCTTAGAACAAATTTCATCCAACTTTTTTATGCTAATTGAAGAACTACTAAAAGTTTTTGATAAAACTAATAATCCAATAGATGTTGAATAAATTGTATGCTTTTCATTTATACGCTGAGATAATTGCTTGTCTAAATAATTCAAATTATTTATTTTTTGGATTGAATTAATTATATAGTTCCAAGATTGTGTTTCACTTTTGTATACAATTATGCAATTAAAAAAATCACAACAATATTYAGTATTTATGTCACAACTAAATTTACAAGTAAATGTAAATAAAAATGTTAATATAACAGTTTTCAAATATGAATTTGGCATTTTTTCAGCAACAGACTTTATTTTGAGCATGTGGTTAATGATATTGAACCCTAAAGGACGATCAAGTGAAATATCAGCTAATGATTTTGTCAAAAATGTTAAAGGTACAATTGACCACTTAATAGTTGAAACATATGATAAAAATAAGCTAAACACATCATGACCATCATTGGAAATCATAAGTTTATTAAGCCATAATGACAATATAATTTCCAATTGAGGTTGGTTAACAACAATTTCACCAGACATTTTGTATAAAAAGACGTTGTTCAATGAACTAACAAATGACAGTAAAAGTTGTTCATTTGTTTTTAATGATTTCATCGGCATACTCGTGATAATGTCTATACTTGCCAAGACGACATATTTGGAACTGTGCTTAGACATTTTACAATACATAGCTGTAATCCATTCCAAAGGTAACTCGTAGTAATCATCATCATCACCATCAGTTTTGCTTAATGCAAGTTTTTTAGCGGTACTCAGAACAGGTAAAGTTAAATGTTGTTGAGTATTCTCCAGAGTTTCTATTACAACCATATAATCATTCCATGCTTTTACATACTGTTCTTTATTTAATTTTGGAAAGTAATTGATATTTTCATTTAATAATTGAGAACATGACAATTTAAGTATGACATTATTATAAGTTCTAATAACATTATTTTCACTGGTCAATAAATTACACGTTAGGCTCCAAAAATCATCATCATTTAAGATAACAGCAATACAGGAAGAATCAAAGAATAGAGTTTGCATATTGAACAGTAAATCCATTATACRATTAGGATGAGTTTCAATCATAGATTTAATATGTTTCCATAAAATAGGTACATAATTAGTTGACACAATATTGTTTAGTAAGTATATTATAGCATTTAACTTATTTTTACTTAAGTATGGTTCATTAAGTATAGTTGTCAAAGTATTTCTTAAGTAATTAAGTTGAGTGTTATTATCCATATTACCATTACACGGCATAAATGTGCTTTGCATACAAAATCCAATATTTTTTATTCTTTCATTGGAACAATTTTTGAAATCAACTTTATTTGTTAATTCTATACAACATTGGAATAACTGAATGATATCATCACTACTTTGTTTTTTAATAATATTAATGAAATAAACTAATAAGGAGTTTAAATCATCTAATGAAATATCTGAATCTTGCCATGCTAAACCATCCAACTGAGGATCAAACACTTTAAGGCACAAGTTTTTTGCACTAGTCACAATCAGATTATAAACATCTATTTCTTCGAAAACATCATAGGTATCTAGTAGTATAGGCAGTGCTTCTATAATGGCTTTTTTTTTTTTGGAATGCTCACTATTTAATATGTCCAACATAGATCGTAACATAGTGAATTCTTCCATATTATGTAATAACTGTAAAATTCAATATTGATTAAATTAGTAAAAAATAATTTAAAAAAAAATATATACAATATTCTTATAATTTAYATATTTAAAAAACAAACAGTAGGTATTTTACATCACATAATATATTATATATATGACTAACATATTTATACAATAGTAACTATAAGGYTATAACATAAGTTTTTATAACATAAACATAATTTAATGCATAAACATATATTTTACATTTTATATCGATGTGCTTTTACAGGAGTAAACTTAGGAAAATTAGATCCACTTTTAAACAAATTTTGCCCTATAACATAATCATTAAGTTCCTCAGGCAATGTTAGTGATCCATCAACAGTTTGATGAGTTTCAGCAAGAGCAATAATTAACCTGGGAACTGCACATGCGGTTCCATTTACAGTATGTAAAAGAATTCCGTCCGAATGAATACCCAGTCGTTCAGATTGATAATTCGTACAGTCACTACAACTTGAAATCTCTCCATATTTATTACATCCTGGCATCCATGCTTCAATATCATATTTTCGATATGCTTGTGTCCCAAGCTCGTGTTTTGCCATATCTAACACACGATAATGTAAATTTAATGGTTGCAATAAGTCTTCTTGAATATTTCGAAAATAAAGAGCCATGTCTTCTGATTCTTCAGGTAGACATGCTCCAAACATTTCAACTTTAGTAAACTGATGTACTCTAAAAATTCCTTTTTCCTCAGCAATGCTGGATACTTCAGCTCTGTAGCAACGACTAACTGAACACAGTTTTAAGGGAAGTTTATCTTTAGATACATTTTTGTTCATTAAAGACCCGGCTAAAGCCATTTCAGATGTTCCAGATAAGCACCATTTATTGCCATAATAATTTTTATCAATTGTGTAAACTTGATTTCTTTCTCCAGCTGTATCCATTCCACATCTTTCAATTAACTCATCTGGCAATATATCAGGAACTGAAACTAAATTGAAACCTTTTTTTATTAATTTTACTAATGTGTACTGGACAAGGGCATGCTCAATTTTAGCTAATGGGCCAATGAAATAATAGCTGCGATCGCCACAATAGTTGGATAAATTTTCAGTTTTGAGACAATGCTTAACTTTGGTCAACATATTTAATTGTAACGGTTTGAATTTAAATACTGGTTTATCACCGTAAGATTTTATTATTTTAAAATCACCTTGGATGTGTTCTAGACAAGGGTGAGTTTTTTTAGATATGTCTTCAAACTTGTTTTCCAAACTTGGCATAGTTTTCTTAAAGGTTTTTAACGTGGTTGATAGGTTGTTTTGCCAAGAATAAAATTKCATGAATTGCTTGCTAAAATCCACTTTCTTTAAATACATTTTTCGTGACAAATATGACATAATGTTTAGGGATTTTTTATAAACTTTACTCACCTATATTTAATAAAAAGATCCACACAAACGTTGATGAATATATCTTATTGTCCTATAAAATAATACAAAATATGTTAATAATCGTCAATCATAAATTCATAAATAATATCTAATCCTGGATTAATGACTAATGTGTTCAAGGTGTATAAAACTAAGTTAGTAAAAAAGTTTATTTAAATATTGGATGATTACACTTACTATTTGAGATTATGAAAATTATTGTTCATAAAAATAAACGATTTATTGTTCTAAAATGTTTAACTATTAATATAAATACCTATAACATTATGATCATTATTAATATTATTGAATAATAAAACTTCATTTTTATTTTGTGTACATCATATTGTTTTAAATATTAAACCATTTAAATATTTAATGTTTTCAACATTGCTTTATTGTTTACTTATTTTCTTTGCATCTCGTCCGAGATTTCTTATCAAATATAAACACACGTGTCTGTTAACGATTTCAGTGCAACCGGAAAATAAAAAATATATAAGATAATAAATATTTTATTTTCTATTAAGTGATATTATCATATTATTTATGCGATATATTAATAATTAAATAATATGTCAAGTTCAACTCTAAAAAAATAGGCTTTATTCACGATTAAAAGTAGTTTCTGACCTCAGCTATATATTTATCCTAAATCTTGATTCTTGATCTGTTTTAAATACCTGTCCATAGGGCAAGAATGGAAGGTCATAATCACGATTAAAGATAGTTCTACCACAGAATATTCTGTGGTTCTATCTTTAATCGTGATCATAATTGACATAATTTTAAAGCTATACAAAATTACAAAATACAATAAACGCTGTACTATTGTACTACACTGTTCAAAAATATTACCAATATATTTTCATATATCTGTGATTATAGTATAATGCGATTTTTGATAATTTTACTCGGTAAATAACATAATTAAAAAATATCAAACATTTTTAAACATCATTTATAAATGATAATGTTGTCAATGTATAGTTACTTGTTAGTTTTTAAATTTGCTACTAGCAAACCATTGGCCATTTAGCCCATTTATTACCATTTAATTTAAAATTTCAAGTTTGTGTCAATCTTTTATTATAATATTTAGTACAACTTTTTTTGTTTTGTGTAACTGTTTTTAATTTAAAAAATAAGTGATATGGATCATTGTTGCAAAAACTGTATTCAAATATTTCAAATCTGTTTATTATATATATCTACATACTACAATTCATAACCAAGAGTAATGTCTTAAGCTACGTTCAAAATTTTCAAGTTCATCTAAATAAAATAAAATGAACCCAGAAAACGAGAATACGAATAAAAAGAAAAAGGTTCGTCATAATTTACTGCATGCTTTGTATGATCGGGAGATCAACGGAATTAAAACACGCATGAATTGTATTAAATCTGCTTACCAAGTCATAAATCCCAATTGTACAGTTATAAACGTTGAGAAACCTCCATGTTTTCTAAGAAAATTCACTCCTGATGGCCGCCTCTTCATAGCTTTTTCGCAAGACCAATTGTACCTCGAGGTGTATGCTTACTTAGGATGTTCAATGGCAGCTAAGTTGTTAAAGAACTATGAAGAAAATTGTATTGGCCAAGATAACGGTGATGTTGTGCGCAAACGAATATTTGAAAGTCTTTTTCAACTGAAGTATCGGGTACTAGTAGCAGCGGAAGGAGAACAACTAAACAGAGAATGCAGTTTRTTTTCAGACAATAGTTCCTTTGTTATTTTGGGTTCTGTAGGACCTATTTCTCGCAATTTAATGCTTGAATACAATGACGTTTTCTCCAGTAACGAAGCAGTGACTCCTAATATTTTATTGCCTTTAGAAAATTATACTATACATTTAATCAACTTAAAAAATGGGGCCGTTTGTCAACGCTTACACTTCAAGGCCGATAAAATATCTTTATCTCATAACCAAGGCGTTTACATGTTGCAACATGTACTTGCAATTTTATCTGTTCAACATCAAACAATTCATGTTTACAACCGTATCAATAACCGTTTCTATTTGTTGAGAAAAATTGGTCGATTTTGTTTCGATAATGATCTTGCATTGATTTCATCCGTGCACACAGATATAATCGCAGATAATTATAAAGCTCGTAGTGAATCTTTTATCAACGGATTAAAAAGCAAGCTAATGGTGTTTTTGTACAAAAAAGCCGAACGTGAATCTAAGGAAGCTGGAACACAATACCCTCTTAGAAAATTTTATCAATATTACAATCAAGTGAGCTAAATATTATGCTACAAAAACAAAATTAATATAATAATCATTGGTAATTATTGTTTTGCAGTTTATGTCATTACGAATGTGGAAAATGCAGTTCATAGATGTAGACAATATAATCATCAGATATGCATCAGAAGATGTGGTTACAGCTAAAATTCAGGAACCAAGTACTCAAGCATCATATTTTATGATTTATAATATGACTACAGCTACGGTAAATTTATCATTTACCTAACAAATGTATGTGTCACGCAATTAAGATTTTAATTATAACTATTTTGATTTTAATTTCAAATTTGGTATACCTAAGTTTAAAACAAGAGAATTAATTTTAGGGAAAGATACAAATATACTGATTTAATTTAGTAAAATACAATTTTAACTAACTTAATATATCGAGATATTTTATCAAAAAATATTATGCTTTCTGTAGTATGTTTTAGGGGTTGAAACAACTAAAATTCTCACTGGTAAACATATATTTTGGACTGGCTGTGAGATAAAAAAAACTTGTATGGCGCTATTGTCCCAGTGTACTAACCTAACCTACACCGGAGGCCTGTTTGGCAGAATTTCTAATGGGCACCCGTAGGTTTCTGCCATGCCCCAGAGAAAAATGCCGCCTGATGATCGAGGATTGAACCCGGTCCGACTGAGCCACAGCCGATGCGTTATACCGCTCGGCCACCTCGTCCCCGGGTGTGAGATTCAAACAATGAAACACATTGTCAATGTTCTACTTACAGTGGCGCTAAACTTTTTTAAACCACGGGGTAAATCCTATTTGAGAGTACCACCTACCCACCCACCTAATACTGATAAAGGGGAGCACCTCTTTCAAAAAAGACTATAGTTTAAGTTTTAAACTTTAAGTTATAAGGAGAATAATATATCTGTAATACTATTTACTCTATGTTATGTAACAAAAGCAGTCACTCACAACCCACCACCTAAAAATGTTCTGGGGTATTTACCCCATTTCCCATACGTGTTCGGTGCCACTGCCTACTTAGTATTATATATTTGTTCTGTAAAATATATCAGCCATCTATATTCTGTTCAATGAGAAAATTCACGGATTCTGCTCATCCTCTTGTAACTGAAATCAGTTCTCTTATAGTAGATTGTCAGTGTTAGTTAGAAATGTGTGGAAGAAAATTGATTCTGGTCAGATCGYCATGCATTCTCTTGCTGAACACAAGTGTATAGTTTTAAAAGTTCTTATCTTAAAAGTTGTAATATAATAGTTTATAAATTTCATCAATTACAAACAATTATTATCAAGTTTATATCATTTTAACTGAGTCACAAACACATTGTAATTTATAAGTAGAAAAGTTCTTGTAATCTTGTATTAGCATGTAATATGCTGAAACACTTTAAATCAAATAAAAACAAAATTCATCAAACATTATAGGAATCAGGATGTTAAATATTTGATATAAATATAGTTACTTACATTATTATTATTAGTTTAAATTATAATAATCATAATTACATCTAAAAAAAATAACAACAGTTGCATTTTTAACTATAATAACAATTTCATTAAAAGGTTACTTGAAGTATCCAGTTAATGATAATTTTTTTGTATTATTGTGCCTAGGTTTTAAACGTTTATGAAAATACATCTAGTGATTTATTACGTGGATACGAATATTTTTGTGATACTTTTCGTAATCCTTCTCTAAATCCAAATGGATTTATGCCTTGTTCACCGTCAAATAATATATATTCACGGTATATTAATTTATTATTTAGCAATAAGTTTACTTTTTATTTACAAAAATGTTTCATTTTAGGGATTCTCATGAAAAATTTAAAAATACAATGCTAAATGCTAGATTTGGTGGTACAATGGAAGCAAACAAGCGAATATTAGGACAATTACCAATAGCAGCACAATCATTTTCCTCCTCTCCATATTTAGATACTTCAYTTTATAGTTATGATGAAAAGTGGGTATCACCAATGGAAAGACCTAAAGTAGTTGGTGAATATCCAATAAGGTAAGATAAAATCATGTTTTTATTTTATTCTTCCCATAAGTTATTAAGTTATATAATTTAAACTACATATTTATTTGTTTGTACTTTACAAAGGTTCTATTCAAGGGAATCGGGAACACTAAGCTTTTATCTGTATACCAGTGTATCAAGAAACAGACCAATTCATGACCGCAGAAGACTGGTAGCATTTACATTCCATCCTACAGATCCTTTTGCCATTAGCGTGCAGAGGGATAATTTGGAGTATATTGTTAATTTTCATATACGAAAGGTGTATTTACCAGAGTAATGAAYATTTGATAATCTTGATTACTCAACACTACTTCAATTCAACGAGATTGTCAGATTGCCATTTTTATCGTATGATTTTTAATAATTTTAATAGTTTTTTTTTATTTATGAGATTTAATTTTATCAGTTATTTAATAATATAAATTATAATCTTCAACAAATTATTTAAGAAATGTATTCATAATGTTACAAGTTGTAGTATTTTTTAAAAATTTTATATGACATTATAATTTCAATTTAACTTTCAGAAAATGTAATAGAGATTCAGTATAAATTGAAAAAAATTAAATTCAAATATGATAAACTTATTAGTTATTACATTAATAATAAATTAAACAATTTCCAGTTTTTAATTCTTACTATAATATTTCAAGGTACAAACTTTTTTGTCGTAAAATGTTCTTTTAATTTTTTTGACAATCTACATTCTAAAAAACCAGTTAACATTTAAAAAAAAAATCATTAATTAAAAAATGTCAATATTATTAATATTGTTAAGCCTATATGGGGCTATATAATAAACTAAACCATTAATATTAAACAGCAAATATTTATGAGTTTCAAAAATGTAAGCTCATAAAAAATTGGCTAATCATGAGTTAAGGTGTATGAAATCACCTGTAATCGTTATGGTATAGCTGTTTCTTCTTGTCGCTACATAAGCTAAAAAAAAATTAATAATTCTAAATGTCCTTGTTCAAATTTGTCAATAAAATAGCACTAGATTCAAGTAAAGTCTACTATTAACAGTCATGAATAAATATCAGTAATATGATTTTGGTTTGGGTCTACATTACACCAGTGGTCTCAATTACATTGCCTACAAACCCATTTGTTGTGTCCTGCAATAGATCTATTTTTTTAATAGACAGTACCTTTTTTTATTGGACGATATATTTTTTTTTTATTATTATCATACATTTTACTTTTTATTTAAAAATCAATAATTGTAAATAAAATATTATTTAACATGAGTAATATTTTATTTGTACATCCTTCATTTGTAATCCCTAATTACCAATAAAATTATTTTACCATTTTTATTAATTGCTATGTGTTAAAAATATACTAATTAGGTGATTTATAACTATTGGTGTATACGTGTAGATAACTCACTGATCAAGATACACACACGAAAAAAATCTATGAAAATGTTTTGCCGCAAAGCTTTGATATATAATTATATATGGCCCGCTGATAATTTGAGCAGATTTTTCATCAATTAGACAATTGATATTGTCTTTTTAACAAAAACTAATGATTAAATAAGAGTTGTTTGAACCTTTTGCGGAAGAAATGCTAAACAAAAAAGCTAGAAAAGAAAGAAGAACTGAAAATCAAAAAAAAAATTTGAAGTTACTTATTTAATATATTTCATTAATTGTTAATCGTAATATTTATTTATTTTTTAAAATTTTTTTTTAAATACAGTGTAATTTTACTGAGTATTAACAGAACAAACACTGTTAAAGTCATTTTAAAATTTCTTTAGAATATTTTCTATTTTTATGAGTCATATTATATAAGATGAATAAATTCTGTTTTTTTTTTTTTTTTTTTTTAATAACTAAAAATTATTTAATAATATTATTAAATAAAAAATAAGTACACAATATATTTAAACATTTTCAAATTAAGAAAATGGGGAAAAATGCAGTAAGGCAAATAGTAAAACTAAAAATGTTAAATGTCAAATAATTTGTATATTTTTGAATATAAATAACTTTTATATAAGATATATATTGACTCATTAAAAGGTAGCTCAACTGTGAGCTTCTCTCCACTGCCCCATCATTGTCATCCCTCCCTCCAATTTACTCATTGTACAAAAATTGTATAGATTTTGAATTTTCAATAAACGCTACTTTAAAATAAAATAAAAAAAAAAAAAGATATATATTAAAAGTGTATTGTTCATTTCAATATTTGTTTGTTTGTAACTAATATTCAATCTATCAGGAGTGTGCTAATAATAACATTATAATTAAATTCGTAATTAACCATGCAAATAATTGATAAGGATATTCTAAATTTCTAAAATTTTATGTATTTTCATTACCAAATTAATTATTTGATTTATTTCAATTATAAAGATTTCTAATACATTTATTCAAAAATTATTTTAGCAGTAATAAAAAGTATTAGAAGTCGTAGTGATCTCGCATACAGAAGGTGGGTGCTTGTGAGGGGGTTGGAAGGAAAGTGGTTAAATTGGTCAATAAGTTGTTTTTATTGATTAATTAATGATTTTTTTTACATTTTACTGAGTTAAGCATACTAATAAATATAGTATAGACACTGGAAATAGTCCAACCATTGAAGTCTGTTGGTTTTCAGAAAATACCAGATTACTCGAATATTTTCCATACGTTTGACAGTTGACATCTGAATTTGGTTCATTCGGGTCTCTCCCGTTTAACAGGCCTGACTCTTTAATTCTCCTCTCTTAACAATAAGATAATACTATCGCCAAAGTTATTCGTAAAAAATATCGTCTCACGGTCGCCTTGTGGTTATATTCTGTTGTTGATATAAAAGTGCATAGTTCAGATTACTAGAATAGCAATATTATRCATGTATATAATATGCTGTGTCTCTGTCAAACTAGTGTAATACCATTGATTATTTATAATACCTACATTAAAAATTTATTAAATGTTTTAGGATTAATATTTTACAATTAAAGTAGTTTTAATATTATAATTATTWCTCATATCCAGTCATATATTTTTAGGTCAAATTAAGGAAAAACAGTAAAATAGAACTGTAAGCAAGTTGTTTACGAACTATATGTTACCTGAAACTGCAAGGTAATCATCATAAATTTAAATTCACACATTCTACCAGTTAATTATTTTCTAAACTTTCGCATCAATATAACAATGATTTATTAGTAATGTGCCCATTTATACTTCATTAGAAATTGTGTATTGTTTTGTTTGTTAATCATTTACGATCCAGATTAATTATTTTACACTTGTTGACATTATGTCAGATTGTAATTTTACCATAATAAGTACAAAATTAAATGTGTATCTTATCGAGTTAAAATAATTATGTTACTGCGATATCCAAAAACTGGAATTTCAGTWTAAATAGGAACACAAATAGTTGGTTTCATTTATCTCTAACTCATGACTTATGACATTCCGCATACAAGTCGCCATATTTCATTACCTGTACATCTAAAACATACATATTACCTACCCGACTTAAATTCGATCATTTACAACTCTGTTAACGCTAGTTTTGTTATTATTTTATCATTTTTATTAGTTGGCAATGTAAAATAATGCACTAATTAATCATGTATGATAAATGACAATAAATAACTTTCACCAATGTTTACCTTGTAGTTTTCTCATACGAATCGACGTGTCACACCATTTTTTTTTTTTATTATTGTTGGTTGGCGATCCGAGCGTGAAAAACGCGCGACAAGCGTGAAAATGATGTGACACCTCGATTCGTGTGAGAATTTTGCAAAAAAATATAGCTTGGATGTTAATTTTCACATTTAATATAATATGTTAAAAATAAGATGAATACCTACATCCAGATTTTGAAGATTGAAAACAATTTCAAAAAAATCTTCATTGGGTCATCACACTGAGTACTCATTTCAGAAACACTCTGTATATAATGTAATATATTTAATACATCGATGTAGAATTATTGAGCAAAAGTATTTTTTCAACTTATACACACGCACGTCGCGTTTTATTTTACGCGATTGCCCACGTGTTAGATTTATATAATTTATATAATTCCATTGAAAAATGAATTGCATTTTTTCAGAAATCATATTTTTTTTATAATCAAATTTTTTTACTGATGAACCCTTTCGTGCTCYGCACTCGTATTTATAGGCACGGGCGTTGCGTGTGGCCAATGGTAAGGCGCTTGACCGTCCGCTGTCCAGCTTATTTCATGTTATGCTTGATAATTGGTAAATACTGTTATATGTACGGTGAACAGTGGTTTGCGCAGGAATTTGGTATGGGAGGGGGATGTCATAAATAAAAATGTATATTTTTTAATATTTATATTCTTTATTATTATACAAAAAAATTCAATCTAAGCGGAAATTCATCCTTCCGGCTTTTACACTAAATTCATCAATTATTTGATCTATAGATAGTCGAATGTCTCGATGTATGTTCATTACCGYCAATCCATTTAACTGTGACTAAAAGCCCATGGGGGTATATCCCCAATCATCCCCCCTGCGAACGCCACTGGTGGTGAATACTAGTTGCGGTTAAAATCAAAAATTACGTTCTATAGTTGCGGTCACCCGAAAAAAAAAAGGTTACATAGGTATACTAGTTGCGGTCACTCAAAATATATGAATATAGGGAAAAAATCCCCAAAGTTTAGGTAACATAACCATTGGGGAATTTTTGACTGCTGTGATGCTGTGAGTAATAACACTAATAACATAATGTGCAAGATGACTGTTTAACTTTTTTATTTTATATTATACATTATTTTTATTTTATGCGCAATATATTTTATATTTTTAATATATTCATTATTATCATAATTAATTTTATTTTTGCGTAATCTAACTGTGTGATCAAGATATAATGTTATAATAGTTATCATTCAAATTTTAATTTTTTTTACTATTATTAATTATTATTTTAGACAGCCTGTACACAACAGTTAGGAATAGCTTTGGGGGTTTTTTTCCGATTACCAAATATATACCTATAGTATATACTTGATTTTATGTTTAAATTAGATACACTGAGTACCAGGCCCGTAYACAGGGGTGGGATTTAGGGGTTYAAAACCCCCCGAMATTTTTAAAGTAGTTATATTTCTATAATATGTWATCGCAATCTTGTCGGAAGACGGACTTAAAATATTTTAACCCCACCCCCCACCGAAAATTGATGCTGGATACGTACTTGCTATGTAGGTACCTACTGTAATTGACATTTCAGAATGAATAACGCTCGCTCAACTACTGCTCCATTTCCTTACGTTTAAAACTGTTACTAACCTTTTACTGTACCATACTACCATTGATTGGTGTTCATCTGGTTTTTGATTATATTATGTGCTATTGTATTCTGTTCACAAATGACATCTTTAACATCATATTTTATAGCCACAGCCCACATTACATGTTTTTTTACAACATACGTCATTTGCTAGAGTACGATAAAATMGAAATTTATAATCTTTTACTACCTTATTACGGACCGAATAGTGTTTTAAATTTTTTACTTAACTTAATCGTATTACTGGGCGAACTAGTTTTTACCGCAGACTTACTGAGGCGTATAGGCATACTRCATRAATGCAATATTCAAAACTGCGAYGAGCCTATACAATTTAGTGTCTATTTTACGAGTATAATATGTGTTTATCTCAAACTTGGTCTCTGACCACAAYACAGATGCAGCCATTATGTWGCCTATAACAAAACAAAACATTTTTTTTTTTAATATATAGGTTACTCAATCTTAGTTCTTACATCTCATTTTATGTTTATAAAATATTTTGTTACATTACTTTAGATATATATTAGAATGGTATTATTTTTTTCGCCAGCCTCTGTTTTTAATTTAGATTTTTTTTTTTTTTTTGGGGGGGGGGCATTGCTCCAAGCCCCCCTTGTATCCGCGCCTGGCCTATAATCAGCGTCGCCATTGCTCACCCTGAGCCTTTATGGTCCTTATAGGTGTAACAAACATAATCACATATCCCTTTTATCTTTTATCGCAGAACACACACGGGTCGTCAAGAATAGTTCGATTGAGCAAGTTTRTAGGTGTATCGTGTACCTTATTGCGACGACCGGTGCCCTCTTATGACCAGTCTGATCCGTGCTCTACAAACTACATAACACTTAAATCCGGCCGGTACAGTCGACGGAAGGTTAGCCGCAGTGACGTAATTAGGAATTTGGTTTTGAGGGGGGAGGATTACTTATTTTTAGTAAAATTTGTAAGCCGCATACAATAACCTAGCCCACACCAAATATACATTTTTGCAGTAAAATAAAAGTTTTTTTTTGGGAGTAGTTTCTATCACCCTCATCCTCCCRCCTTAATCACACCCCCGTCCCGACGTCAAACGTGCTCGCCTTGCAGCATTTTTATTGGCGACGATCAACCAGTGAGAGTGCCGACCAACTGTATTCCAAATCTCATAATATTATGCAACATATTTTGGACAACATCCCCAAAAATAACACACATATAATATTWATTTGATTACTATATTACAACAAAGAAAAGATTGTGAATATACATAATACCACAGTCGGCCTCACTACCGCACCGAGCTATTAGATGTTTCACATAAAAAAAAAATCTTAGTTGCAAATTTATTGTCATGGTTTACTTATTATCCAATAATACAATTAACACGAAAGACAAAATTGTCTTGAACATAATTTAGTAATATTTTTGTAAGTCTTAAATATTAACTACATAACATATAAGTATAATTGTATATTGTAATAAAATTAATTTTATGTTATGCTAATTATATTACGGTAATCATTTAAAGCTTAAGACAGAGTAACGAAGAATATTAAACACTAGAACAATGAAAATAACAATAGATAGTTTAATATAATATGAAATATAAAGTTAATTTGATTATAAGTCATACATATTTTGTTTAATATAAATTAGTTTATCTTGGGTTAGATAACATTAATCTTCAATATGTTGAACAGAATATTCCAAAATAATTGTTTAATTTAATTTGACATTTATAGTTAAATTTATTATCTTAGTATTTATTTTTATAATATTCTACTTTTGATATTTCATGATTAAACTTGTATTATATATGTTTTTAATGTATATAACAATAATTATTCTCAAATTAAAGTAATAGAAAATGCCTTTACCAATTAAAATGTATAATATATGCAATAGATATTTGGTATCATAGGAATGTGCGCCTTATGATTTATTTTAACTAATCTAAAATCAATTTAATATTTTAATTATCAATAACTATTAAAACTAATAATCACATACATACAGGTGGTAAAAAAAAAGTGAGATTATATTATTTAAGGTAAAATATTTGGTTAWGACATTTCAATAAGATTATTAAAATGAAACAGGCCAGAAAATAAAGTACCATAATTTTAAGCACTGAAAATGTATAAATGTGCTCTATAATTGATACATTTTCATAAGTCTTACATTTAAAATACACTTTAAAAATATAATAGTAGATGATAAATAATACCATTTAAAATACATTTTGATACCAGCAAACTTAAAGGTTCAAAAATTTGTCAGATATAGTATTATATTCAATTGTCATTTCAAATAAAACATTTGAAAAAAAAAATGGTTTTTTAAAGACTAYTTCAAACAAATACTTAAAAATCAATTACCTACTTTAAATAATTAAAACAAATTAAAACCATAATTGATATAGGAAGACAATAAATTATTAAGATCAATAATTAAAATACTGGTGGATACTTAAAGCATTGTAAAACTCAATGCTAAATTAACTGTTCATGGGTTCAATGATATTCCATAAACTAGCATACGATCCAAAACCAAATCCAAGAAAACCGATTATAATAATAATAATATCTTTAACAAACATCAGCGTAAACTCTTTACCGGAGCAATGATCCCAGAACGTCATGAGTTCAATAATAGGTGGAAATATTAGAGCTAGTGCTGAACTACTGAATGATCCCACTAATGAGATGATTGCTGATAGGTTTGGAATGGCAGCTGCTAAAGCGACTGTAAAATACATGAAATAATCTTTTAGAATTTAGCAAGTAACACAATTTTACTAAAACTATATACACTCTATCTTCCATAATATATATAATATACAATTATATATTATTTTTAACCCTGCGAGAGAACAAGTATTTTTTTCAGGGCTGTAGCATGTTCTTTCGCTGAGCGAGTATAGATTAAGAACACAAATATAATTTTAGTATTCTTGATATTTTATATAATACTAGTTGAACCTGTGCATTTCATAGCCCATTAAAAATCCTACCACTTATATATCTCAAACTGTATGCTAAATTAATTTCCTGTGATTATGCTAGCTGTATACTTTATCCCAACAAAACCACACTTCGTCAAACTCCGTGCAAAAAATTACTAAGTAAATAAAACTTAATAAATTTATACCAATTTTAAGCACATTAAAGTTATGATATCATAAACATGCTGAGTAAATAAAATTTATAATAGATATTTTACTAAATTTAAAATAATAAATGGCCATGTTAATTTGTCAAAATAAGGTCTCACCAAKTAAATAAATTATTGAGAGATATTTATTTAGCAATATTTTCACAACTTTAATGTGCTTAAAATTCATACAAATTAATAAAATTATTTTTACGTAGCAATTTTTTACATGGAGTTTGATAAAGTGTTATTGTTTGGATATCAGTAGTTTTTTTTAACATAATTTTATTAACCTGCGTGTATTACAATTTGTTGATTTGTAATTATTTTAACACTATAATAACTTATTTTTTTTATAAAACCCTTTTTTTTTATTATGATGACATACACGGTTTTACTCATTTGAGGCCATCTTATAGTACGCCCACTCAAGCATTCATTATTTTAGTAGTTAGAAATGATGTTTGGGAATACTTTGTTGTTGAGTTCATCTTTTGATGAGACAAAGTTACAGAAATTAGGAGGAAATGAAATCAATCCGTTCAATTTGTCAACAGGTACTTGTGCATTACCGATAGTCAGCAATTACTCAGAGAAATCTTCAGCATTGCTCATAATAGTTGTTAGCTGAAGTTTCTTGAACAAAGTTTTTTTCACTGTAACCTGGCGGCAGCGATGAGTAATTCAGCTAGTAATTATAAATAAACGATTTTATGACTGTTATCGACTTCACAACTGCGTGTTATTAATTTAATTTTAAAGTTTTATTATTCCATGTCAGTTGGATTTTGTTATATTACATTCTATGTCAAATTCAATAGGAACGGGATAAAAAGTATCCTATATCTGTTTCCTGGTTCTAAGCTACTTCCCCACCAATTTTCAGCCGTTCTTGAGTTATAAATAGTGTAACTAACATAACTTTCTTATACATATATATATGTATATATATATATAGGAGATTTAATATTTACATGTTAGCGTGACAAGAAACACTCTGATACTCAATTCAGCGTTACGTTGACTAGACTGTGAATGAAAATATCCTTTTAAAGCAGGCCATATGATACCAATTGGAACATAGAATTGGAGACCATAAGACAAAAATATTGAGAATGCCATTGCTGCCCGGACACTTTGAGCTAACCTGAAACATTTTTGTTAATTAATAATAGTTTAAAAATGTTTTTAAATATTAATAAGTGTTAAATATTTTCAACATATAAGTATTAAGCACTTAAAAGTTTGAAGTATAAACTTTATTTCACCACGTAGCCTCTGAATACCGCTGTGATTTGCCAATAATTGGTAAACTTATTTGGAAAGAGTGTAGTATTTTTATTACAAATAATAAACACAAAAAAAAATAAATTATTATAGGACTAATCTAAATAGTGTAAGYTTATAATCTAACTTACTAACAAAAAGTAATATCATTTGATAAATATTAATATTAATTATAATTAAAAATTAAAAATATACCTTGCACGCCRAATAAACTTGCTAAAACAAATTAATACAATACTACACATTTTTTTTAATTATACATTTTTATTTCAAAATCAGAAATTCTTAATCTGTCCCATTAAAGTTTTCTTATCTTAATAAACTATAAAAAATATTATTTATTTATTTTACCTTTTATACTAATTAAAATAATTATTACGACATTGAATTTTTCTTATCAAGATTGTTGAACAATATTTTTTAATTGGTATAATAAGATATGCACATAGGTTAGATATTTATGCAATGTACATTTTCAGAAATATGAACTATAATTAAATTATTAAAAGTATTTGCATTATTATTTGTCGTTTAGTTGGTACCATTATTAAAATTAGTAAAATTAATAAAAAAAACTTAAAATTTCTTATTAGACAACAATAAAAATACAGATTACTAAAATCAGTTGAATCTTACTAGCTGTTTCTAATTTTAATATTTAATATTTTTAATCTGTAAATTTTAAGGCAAATGTTTTTATATTAGTTTATCATTGGTTAATGCCTAAAGGTTAAAATTTTAAGAAGACAATTCTATATTATATTTTAAGTTTAAAAATTAATCTATAATTACTCATATGTTCTAATAGTAAAATTAAATTGTAATTAAAATTTAATAAATTTAAAAATTACTAAATTAAAAATTAATTAGTATTCTGACATTTAGGTTAGCAAAAATATTATTTAATTGGTTTTTAAGGATTAATTTTGAAACAAATCTAAACATTTATACTATATTTCAATATATTCAATTTTCGAGATGTGAATTTAATAAATTAATTAGATTTAAATTAGAATAAGAATCATTATATTCTAATCAAACACAATTAAAATAATTATTTTAGTAAAAAATGAAAAAAACTATAACAATTTTTAATATCAGTTTTATTTTTGAAAACTTTAAAAAACTTTAATTCTATYTTTATTATAGTTTAAATTTAAATAAATATGTTTGACTTACAAATCTTCAGATGGAAGATTCAGYGTAATACTTCCTAATTTAACAGCTTCTCCATATCGCAAGTATCCAAAAAATCCGATTGACGTATACAGCAATGTTACAATAACCATTCCAGTATTTAAAACACCAGTCATTCCACTAAAAGATTCTGGATTTTTCATGTTATTTTCTAATGGCAAAACCTATTCATAAATAAACATAGCACATAGAGTTACAATGAACAGTTGAATGCATTTTATTTGTAGATTTTAAATTATAATATACCATTCCAATGCCTTCAAATGCGTATACTGCAGTTCCAAAATAAAGGGGTAATTGTTGCCAAGATGAAAAAGCTTTGGCATTCAATGTTTTTGGAAGTCCTTGAAGTAAGTAGAAAAATGTTATTCCTAATCCAATCACTGTTAATATGGTTGCTAAAAATGATGCCGGAGTCAGGTATTTTAGACTTTTTACACAATTCAAAAGTATCATTGGCACCAGTAGTATAAGCAAATATGATTGAACAGACATTTTAACAGAAAAGTAATGTGTTATCACCTAAAAATATTAAATAGTTATAATTCATAAGTTCTAAGAAATATTTTTCAATTATTTACTTCTTGTATATTAGTGGCCACAAACAAGAAATATACACAACAAAATCCCAGCTGAGTCATAACAAGAAAAGTATTAATAAATTTACTCGCAGCTGATGAATATTTTTGTAATTTGGGTGGTCCATATTCAAAAGCCATTTCTGCGACATTGGGAAATGAAAGAGATGGTCTTTGTGTTCTAATACACAATTCATGAGAGCATCGAACCTGAAAAAAAAGGACAGTCAACTTGTTACTAAAAATACAATTTAAAATAATTAAATATTGAAATGAGTTTTATATATCCATACCAACATATGCATACAATGTGTGCAGACAGCTCCCAAAAGTGCTGTACATACTAAACCTACAGCCCARCCAKAGTTTCTGAACGCATCAGGCATAGCTAAGATTCCAGTACCAATATTTCCTTTTAACAAATGTATCATGGTATCAAAATTCCTTAAAAAAAAAAAGAATATTAATATTTAAAATTAACTAACAGAATACATTGGTGTAATACATTAAAATATCATTTTTAGTACATGTAATATATTGATTTTGAATTTTGGATAAATTAAATTACTATATAAAAAAAATATGATATGCATATTACATAAAGTGATCATGACTTAAAATTACGATTTATTGTTCTTGATAAATAATAATTGGCACAGACACATTAACATAAACTTAATTAACCCATTGAATATAAACAATGAATGGTTGAAGGTATATGTTTACTGATAACTATTAGGTACTGCCGGTACTGGTACTTATTGGAATTTTTCTACCTATTCAAATAATTCAACTTTGTACACATTATGATAAGTTATTTATCTCAAACCTTAAGAAAATTATTATAAGATAATTAAATAGCACGTGCATCATATGTCCCAGTTCACGTGATAAAAGGTTGTGTATTCTTTTCTATTTTATTGCTTACATTTGACAAATAATTTAATACAAATATTTTAGATCATAACATCCAGTCATTCTATTATTGCTTATTTTAAAAGGATAATTTGTTTCTCATTAATGACAAACATATTATTAAAAACATTCAAACTAAATACGATAATTAACAATAAACAATTAATATTAAATGTTGATAATAACTTACGATGTTGGATTTTCTAATTGTCGGTTTAGTAATGGATTATAATCTGATGCTAATCCATCAATAGTTCCATTTTTTTCCAATGATTCATTCATTGGACCACTAGAAATGCTTGTATCGGGTAATGTTCTAAGAGACGGAGAAAGAAGATTACTTCTAGAATATCAATAAAGGTAATCATTTTAATTTTTAATTTTTTATAATTAATAATTTTAGTTTTAAGAATGTATAAATAATATTAATT